GAATAAATTCTGGGAACTTTTTGATCAAGGTGCGATCAAATCTTTTTGGAATATTTACGCACCTGCAACGTTGTCAATACTAGAAACAGACAACAACACTGGCAATTCATATCAAACATCATGTATATCAGTACCACAGCTTTGTTAAAGCGTAATATTTTTTTTGCGTGAGAGAGCTAGCAATTTCAAAATTCTACTTTTTCTCATTTTGCGTTGCGATGTTGCCGCGTTGTCCAAAAAATAGCACCAACATTGAAATTTCAAATATTATTTTATTAATACTTTGTGATTATTTTAGAATAATACGTCCCTATACCTATTTCCAGCGGTTTTCTAGAAAATAAGTATTTTCTTTATTTTTCAACCAAAACATAGCCTCAACGATCGCACGTCATTAGATCTGGAGTGGGTTAAAGTGGTTGGTGCCTCTCTGAATAGGTATTGAAATAAAGTTCATCGCCTACCCCTGCGTTTTCGTTTGGCAAAATGTAACAATATATCGCATCATGTTGTTTATAATTTCGGCAGATATCAAATTGCTAATTGACCTAAAAGAAAAACAAACAAATGAAAAAAAAAACAATGTATTTCTGCCTTTTCTCATTACAGATACCAAAAAACCCATTTGACTCAACACGGGCATTTTTTTAGACCATAAACAACTATGATTGCCATATAAAATAAGAAAATTGTTTTCATTTATGAGAAAACGGAAAACTGTAAAAAAAATCTGACTGACATAAATAAATAAACAATCATAAATAATTTTAAAGTCTATTTCAAAGAAACCCCTTTATTTTTTATTTTATTATGTTTAAATAATAATAATATTAATCATAATAATAATAATAATAATAACATTTATTTAAATCAATAGAAATATACAATTTAACAACTTATTGTAAAATAAACATAAATATTAATAAAAAAAACACTTATATTCAAGGTACACCAAGTTAAAAACTTGACAGCCATGCTTGAATATAACGCAGATTAATTTAACTATGTTTTCCTTAAATTACATAATATGAAAAAAAAACATTATATTCGACAAAAAATAGAAACGATTTTTTATAATTACAATACATTAATGAATCTGCGAATTTGACTTATAATAAATATCAATTTAGAAACTTAAGTTACAATTTAGCATCAATAATTCACTTAGTTAAAAAAAAATTAAATGATTTTTATTTTATTTTATTTTTCAGTTCTTTCTTGTATTACGTAAAGAGGCTGAAGAGTTGTGTGATAGGCAACACCCCAACCAATTATTCCGTAAGATATAAGTGATTGTACCAGTGAAAAATAGCTAGCTAATTATCAGATATTTTAGTAAGTTGTCTGAATAAACACATTAACTAACTACTCGATATGTAAGTTCCACATTAGATTTAAGTCAATATGAATTTCTAGATAGGTAACATGCGCAGCTCTACGTAAAGACCAGCAACTGTTCCTAAACAATAGTTTTATAATAAGTTTATTGTTTGTAGGTTTCGTTTATCCATATTGAATTAGTTGTTCAAAATGTCCACCCAGTTGCTGTATTGGTAGTCTAGCTCTTCTTAAAATTGCTAGCAGTCTCAGGATCAGCTAAATAATAATTCTAGCTACCAGTTGTTGTCTGTTTTCAATACTTTCTGCATAATATAAACTTTTCAATATTTCTCATAAAAAGTAGTTTAAGGGACTAAGGCTAGGTGACCTTGCTGGCCAAGGAACTGCTGAACATATTCCAATCCACCGGTTTGTATAATTTTGATTGAGAAATTCTGTAATTTCTCTACCAAAGTGAGGAGCTGCGTCATCGTGCTGAATACACATTAGTTGTCTTACATTAACATTGGAGGATCATTTTCAAGGAAAAGTAAATAACGATTCGCCGTGAGACGTCCTTGAATTATAAGGCGGTCATCAATAATGCCACACCAAATATTCACCGAAAACCTATCTTGAAAATCTGATTCCCGAGTTTGTCGTGGATTTCTAAGTGTAAATTCAAATCTTGAACCCAAGTTGGAAGGTTTGAAAACTTACACAATCCATAAACAAACTGAATGTCGGCGTATATTATTATAATGTATTATACATCCAATACATAATATCCACAGCCGCCTGAACTTTTTAATAGTAAAATTAACAGCTGAACGTAATACTGGAGCAACTAATTCAATAAAGTGGTTTCTTATTAAATGGTTTTTCAAATTTCGAATGCTTGTTGCTTAATTAGAATAGCGTTCTAATGGTGCTGATCATGAGACAACTAGCAGCAACTGGCACTTCAATTCTAAGAAGAGTTAGACTACGAATGCAGCAACTGGGTTGACATTTTGAACAACTAATTCAATATAATAAAATTTAGATAAACACAACATAATAAAATAAAAAACTGATGGTATTTAAAATTTCGAATGATTGCTCCTCAGTTAGAATAGCGTTCTATTCATGCTGATGATGAGACAACTAGCAGAGCTACCACTTCAATTCTAAGAAGAGCTAGACTACGAATGCAGCAACTGGGTGGACATGTTGAACAACTAATTCAATATAATAAGATTTAGATAAACGAAACATAATAAAATAAAAAATAAATGGTATTTAAAATTTCGAATGCATGCTGTTCAGTTAGAATAGCGTCCTATTCGTGCTGATCCTGAGACTACTATCTAAGATGAGTTAGGCTACGAATGCAGCAACTGGGTGGACATTTTGAACAACTAATTCAATATAACAAAATTTAGATAAACAAATCATAACAAATAAAAAATAAATGTAATTAAAATTTCGAATGCTTGCTACTCAGTTAGAATGGCGTCCTGTTCGTGCTGATCTTGAGATTACTAGCAGAGCTAGCACTTCAATTCTAAGAAGAGTTAGACTACGAATGCTGTAACTGGGTGGATATTTTGCGCAACTAATTCAATATAATGAAACATAGATAAACCAAACATAATAAAATGTAAAATAAATGGTTTGTAAAATTTCGAATGGTTATTGCTCAGTTAGAATAGCGCTCTATTCGTGCTGATCTTGAGACTGCTAGCAGAGCTAACACTTCAATTCTACGAATACAGCAACTGGGTGGATATTTTGAACAGCTAATTCAATATAATATAATATAGATAAACTAAACATAATAAAATAGAAAATAAATGGTCTATAAAATTTTGAATGCTTGTTGCTCAGTTAGAACAGCGTTCTATTCCTGCTGATCCTGAGACCGCTAGCGGAACTACCATTTCAATTCTAAAAAGAGCGAATACAGCAACTGAGTGGACATTTTGAACAACTAATTCAATATAATGAAACATAGATAAACAAAACATAATAAAATAAAAAATAAATGGTTTTTAAAATTTTGAATGCTTGTTGCTCAGTTACAATAGCATTCTATTCGTGCTGACCCTGAGACCACCAGCAGAGCTAGCACTTCAATTCTAAGAAGAGCTGGACTAGGAATACTGCAATTGGGTGGGCATTTTGAACAACAAATTCAATACAATAAAATGCATATAAATAAAACATAATAAAATAAAAAATAAATGAAATAAAAAATAAATAACGTTCTATTTGTGCTGATCATGAGACTACTAGCAACTGAGTGGACATTTTGAACAACTAAAATGTAAGAAAATTTAGATAAACAAAACCTAATTAAATAAAAAATAAGTGGTATTTAAAATTTCGGATGCTTGTTCCTCAGTTAGAATAGCGTTCTATTCGTGCTGATCCTGAGACCGTTAACAGAGCTACCACGTTAATTCTAAGAAGAGCTAGACTACAAATACAACAAACTGGGTTGATATTTTGAACAACTAATGCAATATAATGAAACATAGATAAACCAAACATAATAAAATATAAAATAAATGGTTTGAAAAATTTCGAATGGTTATTGCTCAGTTAGAATAGCGCTCAATTCGTGCTGATCTTGAGACTGCTAGCAGAGCTAACACTTCAATTCTACGAATACAGCAACTGGGTGGATATTTTGAACAGCTAATTCAATATAATAAAATATAGATAAACTAAACATAAGAAAATAGAAAATAAATGGTCTATAAAATTTCGAATGCTTGTTGCTCAGTTAAAATAGCGTTCTATTCGTGCTGATCCTGAGACCGCTAGCGGAACTACCACTTCAATTCTAAGAAGAGCGAATACAGCAACTGAGTGGACATTTTGAACAACTAATTCATTATAATGAAACATAGATAAACAAAACATAATAAAATAAAAAATAAATGGATTTAAAAATATCGAATGCTTGTTGCTCAGTTAGAATAGTGTTCTAATCGTGCTGACCCTGAAATCACCAGCAGAGCTAGCACTTCAATTCTAAGAAGAGCTGGAATAGGAATAAAGCAATTGGGTGGGCATTTTGAACAACAAATTCAATACAATAAAATGCATATAAACAAAACATAATAAAATAAAAAATAAATGAAATAAAAAATAAATAACGTTCTATTTGTCCTAATGATGAGACTACTAGCAACTGAGTGGACATTTTGAACAACTAAAATATAAGAAAATTTAGATAAACAAAACCTAATTAAATAAAAAATAAGTGGTATTTAAAATTTCGGATGCTTGTTCCTCAGTTAGAATAGCGTTCTATTCGTGCTGATCCTGAGACCGTTAACAGAGCTACCACGTCAATTCTAAGAAGAGCTAGACTACAAATACAGCAAACTGTATAAAATATAGATAAGCAGGAATAGCGATCCGGCTACATGTTCACTGCAAGGCATTCCCAAGCTATAGCAATCAAATCGTGGGACACACGTATTTTGGTTAGTTATTCGTTTTTTATTTTATCGCCCGTATTCATGGCGCGGAAAAACCTGCCGCTGAAAAAGTATGTCGGAAAATTTAACGTGCGGTGTTATTTCGTGTCCGTGGTTGCCGGCTCGTCGTTTAATTGCAAATTCGTTAAATTGCGTTCACCTGACGTGCGGACGCGACAATTCACGATAAACACCAACATTCGACGACGCAAATTTATTAGTTTTCAGATTAACAACAATTAAGAATGACGAAGGTGAGCGTTTGTAGAGCCAGCCCGTTAATGTTGCACCAAAGCTTTAGCGGCTTAGGTATCATTATTTAAACAAAACGATCTCTCTGGTTTTCGTATACGCTCGTCTAAAGTGGGAAAAAATTTAATCAGTGCATCGTTTGAGCTATCATTCGAAGTGCGTTTGGGACGAAGCCGTCAGTTATCGACTTTCAAATTTTCCGGAGTATGGTTAAATTCGACAGCGGCTTCTCAAATCTACGTGAAATAACAAGAACCTACGGAGGTATTCAAAATGTGAATGATTCGTTGGGGTAAGTGAGCGCACGAGTGATGTCGATCATCAATAAAAATGGCGCGTGTCGTTTATTTCCAATATTTGACGAGGGTTTTGACGCAATTACCATTAACTAGACTCGCACTCGAAACCGTTATTATTTTTTTAATTAAATCTGCCACCTATCGATATGTGGGCGAACTGACAAAAGTGCGACTGATACGTGCAAAAAAGATTACTAGTGTGTTGTTGGTTTTCGCTTAGAATCACTGCTTAGGATTTGACTTGATTCTCTCTCATTCTGCTTTTAAAAATCTTCTTCTTTCTCTCTACCTCTCTTCTCCCTTTTTAAAAGTAGAATGAGAGGAGTATTCAAAGGGACAGCCACTCAATCCAATAATTAAGCAGAGCAGAGAGAGAGAGCAAGAGAGAAAGAAAGAAAGAAAAAGAGATAGTTGAGAGAAGTATTAAAAAAAAACAGCAACTCAGTGAGAGAGAGGGGGGTGGGGGGGAAGAGAGATGTATGAAAAATGAGAAATCTAAAACAGGAACGCTTAAAATGAGTATGAGAGAGGGAGAGAGAGCCAAAGAGAAAGATAAAGAGATATCTGAGAGAAGGATTCAACAAGGACAGCCACTTAGTCCAGTACATAAGCAGAGCAGAGAGAGAGAGGGGGGTGGGGGTGAGAGAGAGAGAGAGGGGGGAGAGAGATAGAGAGAGAGAGACAAGAAGAGGGAGGTACAAAAAATGAGAAATCCAAAACAGGAACGCTTAAAATGAGGAAAAGAGAGAGGGAGAGAGAGCCAGACAGAAAGAGAAAGAGACATTTGAGAGAAGGATTCAAAAAAGACAGCCACTCAATCCAGTACCTAAGAAGAGCAGAGAGAGAGGGAGGGAGGGAGGGAGAGGGAGAGAGAGAGAGAGAGAGAGAGAGAGAGAGAGAGAGAGAGAGAGAGAGAGAGAGAGAGAGAGAGGAGAGAGAGCTATAATAATGAGAAATCTAAAACAGATACGCTTAAAATGAGGAAGAGAAAAAAAGGGAGAGAGAGCAAGAGAGAAATAGAACGAGATATTTGAGATAAGTATTCAAAAAGGACAGCCACTCAATCTAGCACCTAAGCAGAGCAGAGAAAGAGAGAGAGAGGGAGGCAGAGAGAGAGAGAGAGAGGGGGGGGGGGAGAGAGAAAGAGAAAGGAAGAGAGATGTATAAAAAATGAGAAAATATGTTCAACAAATATATATTTAGGCCTTGTTGCTTAAGCGAAATTTGAAAATACAATTATGAAGCAAATTAGGAAATATTTTCATGTGGCCGATAAATGAGGAATATCTGGTATATGGCATTTCCTCCCTTCATGGGTGGATTAGGTGCTTAAAATGTCTTCTAAAAATTAGTTATCGGTTAAAATTGGGAAAATGGTAAGCACATAGAACGGACAAGTTACTTGTTAAAGAATAAAAAACAAGAATTCTGTATGAATTTTGATGCTGTTTGGAGATCATTGTAGACCAGACAATGCAAGGCTCAAGAATTATACAGTTTTAGCCGAAATTACCAAATTAGATGAAAAACTCACTTTCAGTTTTAGATAGTGAACTTAGTATTACACATGATGATTTTAAAATCTATATGAAAAAAACTGCTCGGTTATTTGTTTCCCTCTATCCTTGGTACAAAAAAACATAATGCGAGAAATTTGGATGTAATTCATAATTTTTTACTTTGGTCGGATCCAAAAATCGCAAATTTACGCAAAATCAAAGCGTTTTCAAAAAATGTTAAAATGCTGAGGGAATCAGACGAACGTAGCGCCTATAAATTAGGCGTTGATTTAAAATTAAACTTGTTATGTAATTACCATTATTATTAAATTAAAGTTGATACTTGTTTTTTATTTTGAAATATTCTCTGTTTTTTTTTTTTTCAAATCGGTTAATATACAAAGAATACAAGATTATATTTTTCTACATTATTTACTCATCCAAAGGTAGATACTCTAATTTCTGGTGCAAATATTTATCAGAGAACGAATTTCAACAAAATTATCTAAATAAATGCCTCATAAACACGATGAAGCATTAAGTTATTTCACCTTTTCACCTCATATCGGAGATACTTTAATTTTACAAATTTAGTATTTGCTCATTAGTTTCCCTTTTGCTTGCTGTATTGCATGATTTCCGGCAAAAAAGAATTTTAAATAATTTTTCAAATTTTTTGGGTAATCCTGGCCCACTGTGCGCCGTGTTATCACCTTTTCATAACTCTTATCATTCTGGGCCATACTAAAAGAGTATTATTAAAATCATGATGTAAATAATATCGTAAAATCAAAAAAAAAAAAATGTTGGCTAGCTGGATAAAAGGAGATAAACGACAGCAAACAAAAGCCTCCCGCTTATAAATTGTTGTTGTTTTTGTTTCAGGTGTCTGCGCTAGTTGTGAATTTTTCGAAAGCGGACCGATCAACGAAATTTCTCGCCAATATTGTAGCGTTAGAATTTTAGCGTCATATCAATTTATCTTATCTGCGACGATAGGGAAATAATCGATCGTCTGTTTGAGTAATGAGGAATCTGGAGTTGTTGCTCCAAGTACGTAAATGAAAATTTCGCTGCGGGAATAATGTTACCGACTGTCACGTAAATATGTCTTACAGTATGGCGTTTGAGTTGATTCTTTTGGGAGCCCTCATTTTCATCTTTATCGTGTCATTCTGCGGATTGCTGCAGAAAATCAAACAGACTTACGAGAGGGAGCGCGTCATTGCTGGTGAGTTCACTGCGCTGTATAATTTGCTTCGAATTGTATCGTTCACTTTTACAACAATAAACAAAACTAGTCATCGTTAGACGCCATTGTTTGAGGCGGGACATCTTCAAACAGCGGTAAGTGGGTACAGGGTCGGCATCAAAACACTTATACATATTGATTAGAAAGATTTTTGACAATAGATATACTTCGACCAGACATATAGTGCTTTTACTTACTGTTTATTACTCCAAGACCGCAGCCCCTTATAGAAAACCCTGCAGGACAGACGCTTACTCGTGCTCATTTCAGGACCGTCCTGTTAATTTATCTACCAATACTAACAAGCGCGATATTAATATGTGTGCAATATTTTTCGCCGAGCAATTCTTGAAACATATACATAAAAAAATTAGTACAAAGAATTTATTACGTTCAATTAATTAATACACAAAATATTAAATATAATAATAATAAAGTATCAGTCACTTCAAAAATCATCACTATCGCTACTGTCGTCACATAGTTCAATGATCAACTCCGTCTCTATAAATATTTGCTTTTTTTATGACTCGTTTTTCACAGTTAGACCAGCTTTGTGCTGATATTTTAGCGACCTCTTGCCGAATTAAGTTATGGTACTATCACTAAATTTTGGTGCAGCGTTTTTTCTTCTTATATGCGCTTTCAATGATCAGGGGGTAATCTCAAGATTTCATCGCGGTTTTGTTGTGCTACCGAATCGATTTTGTAGTCTTTACTAAAATGTTTTATCACACCATGCTTTTTTTACTATGTTCTAATTGTCTAACCACGTTTCACCAACACTTGACATTTATGAATGGTTTGGAACTGAAAATCCATTCTCTTCGAAAAAGAACGCAACGACTCTTTGGCAATACTTGTTTATGCAGTTCTTCTAGAGTTAAGGCACTATTCACTTTACAAGCGTCGTAGATTATACGCCTAATTAGATCTGAGTGTTGGTCTTTAAAAACTCACGAAGTTCCAGCATCTTCTCTCATCTTCCTCTTGACTATCCCATTTGCCACATTTTTTCTTACAGTTGACTTCGGATCATTTCTGCTCATACTTCAAGTTCTGAATTTTTTAAAAAATTGTACACATTCAAAACAATTTGTTTAGCATCCGAAGACAAATGAATCCTTTTTTTTATTTTCTGAGGTAGTTCTTAGTTGTTTTCCATATCTTCTGACATTTTCCACATTTTACAGTGTTAAAAAACAGGAACCTTCAAAAAATGTTTAATTATAAGATTCTAATAAATATTTATCTGTCTTAAATAATCGAAGAACTATCTAAACACAAAAATACAAGAAGAAGAATGTTGTTAATAGACAGGCACACATTACATTACATTACCTTACATAAAATAAATTAAAAACCCTTAAACATCTACAGTTAAAAGCAATTTTTGAGTAAATTGTCTTTGAGCAAACTTTTAAAACTGTTTATTTTCTCGTTAATTAACCTCTGCGGAATTATTATCAAAACTAGTAGTACTCCCCAAAACTAACTACAACTATGTATATTCAAATTCAAAACTAGTCGTCATTAAACTCCATTGTTTAAGCGGTAACCTCTTCAAACCGTGTAAGTGAGTGCTGAGTCGGCATCATACATATTTATTAGCAAGATGTTGGATAATAGATAACAGGCAATCAGTTTCAGTATAAAATCGCACCAATTTAATTGGGACAAACATGCAAAAAATGATTTAAAAAATCCTAAACATATACAACCAGAAGCAGATTTTTTACTAAAACATCTTTAAGCGAACTTTTAAAGGTGTTTATTTTCTCGTTGATTAACCTCTGTGGAAGGATTATCAAAACTAGTGGCGCACCCCAAAATTAATTACAACTATATTCAAATGTAATAACATGCGAGGAGTTGTAATAAAGTAGTCGTCATTAGACTCCATTGTTTAGGCGGCAACATCTTCAAACGGTTTAAGTGGATGCAGGATCGGCATCAAAATACTTATGTCTATACTTTCCTTGATATGACATTATGTTAAGTTCGCTATGAATTTGAAATGGCCGAAATTGCGTGAAGATTTTGATCAAATACAGAAAAAGCCTTTGGGACAATTAGACGCCTTTGGTCTAAAATTATATGAAATGGAGGCATTAACATATATTTTTGTAACAATATCCAATGATTTTGAGGGAATTACGGTATTTTTCCAGCTAAGGTTACACGAGCTTAAAGCAAGGCCTTCATTTTTATCATAAGTTCATAATTACTTTACCTCAAGATCATTGAAAATTGCTTAAAAGAAAGACTGCACTTAAAATAGTAACACTGTTAAATAGTTGCGTTCATAATGAAGGACAAGTCCGGTAAAATAGAAAAGGAGATATCTGCATTATGATGGTATCGAATTATTTGAAGGAAAAGAGATATTTTGATTCTCGTTTACTCCGATTTTAAACATGAATTATAAGCATAAAAATACACCGACACTTGACCTTATAAGTTATCTCTTGTTTGTGAAAAATATTTTTAATTTAATGTATTTAATTTATTTACTTTAAAACATAACCATGAAAGTCGATAAAGACAAAGTGAATGAGATTATCTCAAAAGCGTTTAAAGTCAAAAGAATCATAAATTTGTTAAAAAGCAACAATAATTCTCAGTCAAAAGCAAAATACTCGAGCAAAAGGCATTTTCTTTGTTACAATTCAAAAATACTAAAAGCATCATTGGGTGTTGGTATTTTTATCAGTATACATATTGATTAGACAGATTTTTGACAATTGACAACAGGCAATCAGTTTCAACATAAAATCACGCAAGTGTATTTTATAATACAAACAATTTAATTGTGACAAAAATACAAACAATGAATTAAAAGGTCCCAAACATCGACAGCGAAAAGCGATTTTAGACTAGATCATCTAACCAAAACTATATTGAAATGTGGGTAGTTATAATAAACTAGTTGTCATTAGACTTCATTCTTTAGGCAGCAACATTTGCAAACCGTGTGAGTACAGGGTCGGCATCAAAACACTTATACCTACATATTGATTGGCAAGACTTTTGCCAAAAGTCAACAGGCAATCAGTTTCAGCATCAAAATCACACACGTTTAATTTAAAATACAAACAATTTTATTTTAACGAACGTATCAAAACTCCTACACATCCACAGGGGAAAGCAATTCTTGACTTGGCTTAAAGGAACTTCCAAAGGCGTTATTTATTTTTGTTAATTAAGCTCTCTGGGGAAGTTTATTACAACCGGTAGTACCTCCAAAAATAATCAAAAGTATATTCAAATAAACATGCACGGCATTTTAATAAACTTCCCACAGAGGGTACTTAACGAGTTCACTTAAAATCACACTCAAAGATGATTTAGCCAAAAATTTGCTAGATCTGCAAGACCTTCTAAAACATACAATGAAAATATTTATCGACTAAATTACCTTTGAGTGGACCTGGAAAGGCGTTATTTTCTCGTTTATTAACCTATGTGGAATATTTATTTAAGCTGATAGTACTACCCAAAACTAGTCAACATTGGCGTTTCGAACTTCCATTGCCTAACAACGATTTAACACTTGGCTTCGGCTAGAAAGTATCGCTAGCCGGTATCAAGTGAAACCTGAGCACTACCATCGAAGCTATTCGTATTTATAAGGCGTTACATGGCGATAAAGCCACGTGATCGGGTGGAGCAGGTAAAGGTCCTGATGCTTGACAGTGGACGCTGACACAGAGCTGGGATTTCTACGCATGGATGGCTAAAGATGTTGTGTTGTTGAGTTGTGTGCTTCTATGATCTTTGTCTTTCCTTGTGTACAATTCTGGGGTCGGTCCATTTGATTTTGTGATGTTCTGTTCAAGTGGGTGGGTATGTTTCTTGTGTTCTGCTATTCTTACAACCAGTGGCAGCCTATGTGAGATTATCCAGACTTGTAGGGCACTTCATATATACAGTTTCTGGTGTCTGTGATATTCTCTGCCCCTATTTTCGTTATTAAACTTCTTATTATGCACAACGGAAGGCGGTTTTGATGTTGTATTCTGTTGCATTTCTGATCTTTTCGGAAACTTCGGAAACATAGGGAATGGTCGTTAGTTTTAGCTGGATTTTTTTTACGTGCCGCTTGGTATGGAGACAGTCAGTGTCTTTGAATAACCCTTCCGCATTAGATCTTCTTTAATTCGTTCAACTTCAGAGCTTCGTTGCTGCAGATAGTCTTTGCTCTTTTGTATAGTGATTGGGTCATTCTTCGTTTGGTGGTTGCTGAGTGGTTGGATGATGCGGTTGAGTATTCTGTAAACGGACGTATTAATCGAGAAATGGTATTGCCCCGTTTTCTCTTTCTCCATTGTGAACTTTATAGACAGAGCGATGCCATTAATGTGATGCAGGAGACGTTCTAGCTGTTCCCAGTCTTTGTTCCATATTATGAAGGTGTCGACACATCTCAACCAATGTTTAGGTCTATTAGTTGCTGATTTGATGGCTTCTTCCTAGTCCCATTCCATATAAGAGAAGAAGTGGAGTTCCTATCGGAGAGCCATCGGCTTTTGTGTACAAATGGTCTTTCAATTGAAAATGCGAATGTTGAATGTTCTTGAAGCTTAGTCCCAATAATAGACAGGGATGCGCCCAAAGGACTTTCTTCGAAACTGACAAAATTTAACGCTGTTTTCTTCATAATTTCAACAAAATGGGCAACAGATATCGAGGTGGCTCACTTATTGCGCAATTTCTGGAACTGTTAATTGGAAACACCAAGACCTGTTTCGGCAATGGAAGTTCAAAACGCCAGTATTGATCAGAATCAATCCTTGTGTACCTTTATAGAGAAATACTCAAAACTAATCTACACTTAGTCGTCATTCATTAGACTCCACCCCACCATCTTTAAACCGCAGTAAGCGGGTACAAAGTCGGCATCAAACTACTTGTATGTACATATAGATCAGACAAATTTTTGACAGTAGACAATAACCAACCAGTTTTAGCATAAAATG